ACTTCTCTTCAAGAACAACTTCTTTGCATGTTAGTATTGTTGTTGGTATAAAGCAACTACCTATTGTCCAGCTTGTGCATCTTGTGAATTCCTTTGAAATACACTGCCTTGTGCATGTAAATCTGGGCAGTGACTGTGTCTTGTGTCTTTTTGGATCGTTGACAGCTTGTATCTTCAAGCAATTGCTGAGTTAATTACATTCCTGATCAAAATAGAACCATGAACATGGAAATTCTCGTGACAAAGTTCCCCAGAAGCACGTAATATCTTAGTGTTTTGCTGAGTATCTCCAATGCCATGCTTGTGTCTACCCCTGCTTCTCTCCCATTGGAATGAGTACATAGTACTAATACCACCAAATGGGAGTTCTTCAAAGGATAGGGCATGACCACAGTAACATTCCCTGCAAAAAAGAAAACTAGGTTAGTAAAATTTATCACCATACTCTCTTCCATATGGATTTGAGCATGATGATCTAGTGTGTTCCCAGCATTCCTCATGCTCCTGCTACTTCTTTCCTCCTCTCCTTCTAGCTTCTTGCAACCTTCACTCTTAGATATGGGCATTGAAACTTATCACTATTCACAATCTTTCTCCCTTTGACATCCAAATCCCAGAAACAGTGGCATTTCAAAGGTCCTGTGTCTAGAGCATATTAGCAATGTGATCTGCTAATTGGTTGCCTTTTCTGAGTGTGTGTGAGAGCTTCAGATTACATCCTTCCATTAACTCCTTTATCTCCTCCACTTCTGCTACAACTGTCCATGGGACAACCCACACCCCTTGTAACACATTCTTGATTATCATCAAGTCTATATGTAAGTCAATGAGTATGTAGTCATTGTCCATACAGTATTTCAAGGCTTCTACAATGGCTCTTACTTCAGCTTCTGAATTTGTTCCTTCCTAAATCTCTTTGCCACATGCATAGACAACATTCCCTTCTTCATTACTCAAGACATAACCAAATGAACTCCTTCCTGGGTTGCCTCTTGATGCACCATCTGTATTCACTTTTTATCCAGCCCTGCTCAGGAAGTTCCCAGAGAACTTTAGTGTATTTCAACTTAGGAGTGTACTGCTCCATCATGTTTATTAAATCTGGCCATTTGTGTGGGACATTCTGCATGCTTGGTTTCCTATGTTTCACCGGTGATTGAAGCATAGTTGAGACTTGGTATATCACCCTATTGACAGAAACTGGATCCCCATACTTATAACCATTTTTCCTTTTCCATAATTCCCAAACAATGATCGAAGGCAGATCTTGAAGAGTTGGTTGCAGCCTTGGGATAACCTGCACTGTCCAGCATTTCACGATAGCTTGAAGGAATGCCAATCCTTCCACAGCAATTCCTGCAGTTGCAATAAAATAATGCCACTTTTCTGGCAGTATATGATGTGAAAAATAAATGTGACATTGTTTCTTCTTGTGGTAGCACACAACACCAGCACTTTGATGCCATTAAATATCCCAACCTCTTGAAGAAATCATCCAATGGTAACTTATTTTTCAAAACCTTCCATATGAAGAAGGATACTTTGAATGGCAGAACCTTCACCCAAATATTCCTATATGCAGTGCTTGGATCTTTTCTTTTCCTAACATATTCCTATGCAGACTTAACATTGAATTCACCTCTTGGTTCAAGCTTCCACATAGGTTTGTCTAAAGTATCTTGATGAACTGGAGGCTTCAGATTGTTCTATATATAGTCAGCCAAATCCTCAGGTAACAGTTCCCTTAAACGAGTTATATTCCACCTATTCCCCTGTACCACTTCATATACATTTTGAACTATTTCATCCCACAAGAAATCTGGGGGAGTTACAAAATGTAGATTACCTAAGTCTGTCCAGTTTTCAAACCAGAAGAGAGATGAGACCATTTTTGGCTGCCATGCAATTTAATGCTCTATGTAGTCTCTACATTCTAACATTTTCCTCCACACATGTGACCCATCCCTCCAAGGAACTACCATAGCGTTCAACATTTTACAATATTTTTGGCTCATGAATGAACTCCACAAGGAAGGCTTCGTTCTAAAATTCCACCATAGCTTGCAAAATAAAGCTTTAGACACATCGTGCAATGATCTAAAACCTATTCCTCCTTCTTTATATGGCAAACATAGATTATCCCAAGAAGCCCAATCTCTGCTCCTCCCATCAACTAAGTTACTCCAAAAGAATCTATCCATAAGCTTATGTATTTTGCTGATCACAAATCCAGGTGCATTGATTGCTGAGAATAGGTGTATTGGCATACTTTGTAGGACATAAGAGATTAAAACTGCTCGACCTCCTATAGAAAATAGTTTCCCTTTCCACGACTGTATCTTACTTTAATGATGAGTCCTTGATAATATGCTAGCTTTCTTCTAGCATAAAAGATTGGACATCCCAAGTAGGTGAATGAAAACTCTTGCCTCCCTATTCCAGTTGCTCTTTCTACCTTCCTTATCACAGCTTCATCAGTAAGGTGATGCATGTACACAACTGATTTAGCTTTGTTTATCCACTGACCAGATGCTACCTCATAAGCTGCCAGTACTTCCATTATCAAATGCAGAGAAGATTCATCAGAAGAGAATAAAATTATTGTGTCGTCTGCATAAGCCAAATGGTTGATCTTGGGGCTCTATTTAGGCAAACCATAACCACAAAAATAAAAGTTCAAATGAAGAGCATTCAATCCCCTTGATAATGCCTCTGCTGTAATGATGAACAAGGTAGGTGGTAGACGATCACCTTGCTTGACCCCCCTAGTCGACTTGAAAAGTCCATGAAGCTGCCCATTTATAACCACTGAGTGCCAGTTATTTGAGATAGTTCCAAGCACTAGGCCAATAAATCTCTCATCAAAGTCCATCCTTCGCAGCACCTTTGTCAAAAAGATCCATGACAATCTATCATACGCCTTTGTCATGTCTAGTTTGATAACTACATTAGGTCCTGCCTTAGTTCTCAACCTAATATCTATGATAATTTCCTGAGTTAACAGGACATTTTCAACAATGCTTCAACCTTTGACAAAGCCTGCCTGTTCATAAAAAATAAGATTGGGAAGCAAACCAGCTAGTCTTTCATGAATGACTCTAGAGAAGACTTTGTTTATGAAGTTACTGAGGCTTATTGGCCTCATGTTTGAGAAGGTGTTGATCTCTTTTTTCTTTGGTAATAGCACTAGGTTCGTATGGGTAATGAAACTAGGAAGTTCCTGCCAGTAAAGAATGCCTTCAATATTTCCACCACATCTGCACCAACTATATCCCAGCAGACATGAAAGAAGTTGCCATTGAATCCATCAGGACCCCAGCACAGTCTCCATTAAGTCCAAACACTGTCTGCTTCACTTCCTGTGCAGTAGGTAATCTTGTCAAGTTCTGGTTCTGTTCCCTAGTGATCATACGAGGTACATGATTGATACTTCCAAAATGTGTAGGCACATTATATTCATGGAATTGAGCTTGAAAGAACTTCACTGCTTCCTCAGCCATTGCCTCTGTATCTTCAATCCAGCTCCCTTCACTATTTTCTATTCTCTTCAATTGTAATCTCTTCCTTTACCCATTAACATGTGCATGGAAAATTTGATATTACTGTCACCCTCATTAAACCAGGTCATCCCTGATTTCTACTTCCAAAACTGCTCCTCCAAAGCTAAATATCTAAACAGCTCTGCCTGGACTTTCTGCAATCTTTCTTTATTTTGCAAAGTAGGACTGAATTCAAATTGTGCTTCATGAACTCTTACCACCTCTTCTATACTCGAGATCTTTTGGAATATATCACCATAAGTTGTCCTGCTCTATGATGTCAGTGCCTTTTCAACTTCTTAAGCTTGTGATTGAACAAAACAAAAGGATTGGCATGAAACTATGCTTGCTAATTCTCCTTAACAACTACCTTGAATGTATCATGCTTTGTTTAGAAAGATAAGAATATGAAGCTCTTCTTAATTTGGACAACATCTGGATTACATGTGATCAGTAAAGGGCAGTGATCTGAACCAATCTTGGGTAGGTGTGCAACTTCTATTCCTTGCCACAACTGTTGTAACTCAATATTTTCAAAACATCCATCCAATCACTTGAAAATACAGTCTTCTTATGCTCTTCCATTCCACTAAGTGTAGATACTTCCTTTGAACCCCAGATCAGATAAGTTGCACGTGTTCATAGAATGTCTAAAGTCAGCTACTTCATTAAATGAGACTGGTAGGCCTCCAAACTTTTCTTCTTCATCCCATATATCCCCCCTACCGGCCATGGTATAGTCATGTCTCTAGCTAGGTAATACAAAGAATCCCAGAGCTCAATTCTCTCTATAGCATCACACTTAGCATAGACACTACATGAAAGTGGAGATACGGCGACATTTAATAAATGTCGTACTAAGCTGTTTAAATGTCACAAATTCATTTACCGACATTTAATTTACATTTGCATCAAATGTCGTTAATTTCAATGTCGGTAATTTTCTGACATTTAGGTAAATGTCAGTAAGAAATTATGACACTTATTTTATGACATTTAGGTAAATGTCAATAAAATATTTATGACACTTATTTTACGACATCTAGGTAAATGTCAATAAGAAATTTATGACATTTAATTTACGACATTTAGGTAAATATCGGTAAGAATGTTACGACATTTAATTTACGACATCTAGGAGAAACGTCAATTAAAATTTTTGACGTATGATCTTCACAAAATGTCGTATTGAAATTTCCGACATTTTGGTAAATGTCAATAAGAAAATTCACAACATATACAAAATGTCGTATCCACTTTACGTGAATGTCATTAAAAAAATTAGTGACATATCTTTTACAACATAGCAAAATGATGCATTAAATGTTTGACATTTAAATTAATGTAAGTATCATATTTTCTAGAATGTAAATAATAATGCTCTGTTTAGTTTCATCATGAATACATTTACATTCACAAATGTCAACTTTTATAACAAACATGAAATAAATGTAAAGCAAATTTTTTTAATACTGTAACCAAAGAATAAAGTAGCAATATAAAATGTACTTAGTACAAGATAGATAATGTCAAATCAAATAATTTGTTCTCATGTAAAACTCAAATATAACTAAATCATAAAAGATAGTAACTTCAACGTGTAAGTACATTAAGATCACTCCTAATTCGAATTAATTTCCTTAACTTCTAGACTAAATCTTATAAAACCAGCTCTCCACAGGTTAAGCTTTTCATTGCCAGTAATTGACATGTATCACTTCCTTCAAAAATGCTGCACAAGAAGTCATAAAAAAAAGAATTATAACTTTTTAATAAAGTGAATTATTTCCTTCTCTAAAACAATTGGAATACCAAAAATAATAACTGATTGAGGTTCTAAAAGAGAAACAAATTGATAATGAATGTAATACTAGCAGCTGAAGAGAGAAAGAAACAACAACATAAAGCAAAAAATCCAACAAAGTAAACGTAACCGCCCAAACCCAACAACAACGGAAATAATCTAATATCATAATGAGAAGGGTTGAATTTTGAAATATTAGTTTCCGTAAATGGTATAGTGAGTTGAAAACTAATGAATGTTATATAAGTTTTGTAAACTATAACATGAAGAGTGGGTTGCTCTAGTGGTGAGCGCCCTCCACTTCCAACCAAGAGGTTGTGAGTTCGAGTCACCCCAAGAGTAAGGTGGGGAGTTCTTGGAGGGAGGGAGCCGAGGGTCTATCGAAAACAGCCTCTCTTCCCTAGGGTAGGGGTAAGGTCTGTGTACAAACTACCCTCCCTATACCCCACTAGCGGATTATACTGGGTTGTTGTTGTTGTTGTTGTAAACTATAACATGAAGGGTTTCTCCCTTTGAAAAGGAAGAACAAGAATCTTATAATTTTTTCAAACTTACCCGCTTCTTTTTCTTTGTGCCAACTTCACTAACTCCGGTCTTCTTGATTATGTTAACCTGAGAAAAAATATAAGATTGGTATAGTTTAGAAAATTATGAATACAAGATATAAAGAACAGGACAAAGTCAAATAATAATTTTTATTTCCTAATATGATGGCGTTTCAATCATAGATCTTTATTTCCCTGATCTAGGCAAGAGTCTTTAACTTACTCTTTCTTCCAGGTTCTACAAGAGTACAAATACCTTATGTAGGAGGGTAAAATCATGCTTGATGGGAATCTTATCAACATACTGGAACTTAACTACTAATAAAAATTTCTCAATCAAAACCCTTTATAATATGTTTCATATTAGTAATGACATCTCCAAAATCACTCAAGATACTTCTATTAATTGCATTTGGAAGATAAGGTCGCTAAATAAGATAAAGTAAATTTGACTTCTATGCCAAGTAAAACTGCCCACTAATTATCTCTTAAGTAAGGGATCAATTTAGCTAGCTGAAATGAACCATACATCAGAATATACCCTTCAAATTATTTTACACTCAAGCAGCACATAATAGCCACATATTCCAAAAAAAAAGAAAAAAGGCAGACATTAGAATTCTGAACCTTATAAGAAATATGCAAGAGAAGAAACCAAATAACTTATAAATCAAACATCATATGATGTTAAAAAATAATCCAACCTTCTATGTCAATAAAGAACAATTGAATCAAATATATGAGCAAAAATAAACTTGTAAAAACTTACGGTGTGACCTATTTTATACGACCAATCAGCCGCACTCCAACCACAAACATAAGAAAATAACTTTTACATAATCCAATACAACATTTTCTTAATCCTTAAGCCCTTGGTAAAGTAATTTTTCTTTTTCATGGCAAAGATAAATCAAATTGTGCAACTAAATGTGGCAAACATAAACCGCCTTTTAGATTTGATTGTCGCATTAACTTCTTTAGGTCACAGGATTACATGGAATTGTCCTAAAGAAAGCTCCCTATCAATAAAAGTTACTTGAAAGAGGGAGACTAACCCATGTCCCTACAAAAGACCACCGAGTCAATATGCTAGAGATAATTCAGTTGAGAAGAAGGGGAAAATGGTGTGGAATTGGCTAGAGAGAAACAATGAAGATGATAACCCAGGCTATTAAAACTAATCCACTCTGACTTCCCCTGCTGGCTTAGGGCCGACTGCTAGCCTCTATGATCATCACAGCGCCACAAACGTTAGCCACTATTACTGACCACCCACGTTTATTACAGCTTGAATTTCAATCAAATGCACATATGCAAGAAAAGGAGAAATACTCGGTCACTGCAAAGTTTTTACCAATAACTTAAACCGACTATGTGTGCTTAAACAAAGCATTGTTCTTTTGAAATTATCGGAGCCCATCTGGTTAAAGTGCAACTAGCACAATTACACCCTTAGGCAATAACTCCAATATAATGTAGACACATAAAATATTATAATTAACATTTTCCCAAAATAGCACAAGCTACAAATCCAAGATTCTTTAAAATGGGAATGCAACTATCCCTGAAACCCATGTGAGGTACATACCCAAAAAACATATACATAACTTTCTTAAGTTAAAATTAGACACGAATAGAAAGTAAAATCAATAAACTAAGGCTGCAACCATAGTAACATCAATTCGTAATTTATAGTTAAAAAGATATAGTTAAAATGAGTTTATGAACTCACCTTCTTTGTGTGAACAACTGAAACATGTGATAGTGATTGTTGGTGATCGTCCATTGAGTTATCATAAACCTATCACAAACTAGTGAATCTTACAAACTAGTTCACTCCATTGCCACAATATATAATATTTTATCATGACTAAGCAAAATCAAACTATAGAATACCATAATTAACATCTTGAGTAAATATAACTTTTAAAAAATAAGTATCAAATTGATGTTCGATTGAACTTTATTTAGCACTATTTTAGATTGAACTAGTAAATGACATCATACTAATCCAATCTTTTCAAATAGTACCATTATTTCTATACATAAAGTTTAAGTATTACAAACATACTTTGCAAGCAAACTTAAATAGCCTAAACAACTAGGAAAGAAGAAACCTAGTAAGTATTTTTAGAACACAAAAATCTTATATTAGAGATATGAATAAAGCAAAATAAATTAAAGAACTGCCCCAAATAAATGAACTTTCTTCCATCCATCAATTCGTCAAACTATGTCTCATCCCCAAATAAGTTAGAGTTGCCTATAAAAATCTAGGTCTATTGTGTTCGTTATTATTTATCTGTTCTTTTATATTTAAATCAATATACTATTTCTATGTTGGTCAAACAACCTACGGGAATCTCTTCCTTTATCAGGTTAAAAAGATTAACATTCTTCAAAAAAAAATCTGAACAACTAAGAAAAAGAAAGAAAATGTTTAACCCAAATCCGAACAATTAAGAAAAAGAAAGAAATCTGTTAACCCAAATCCAAATAACTAAGGAAAAAAAAGAAATCTGTTAACCCAAATCCAAATAACTAAGGAAAAAAAAGAAATCTGTTAACTAAACTGGTACCTTGACTTTGTAGAAAATAAGCTTTGTGAATCTCAGCAGCAAAAACCTCGGTGATAAAACTTTTTTCTACTCCAAGTATCTATTATAGCACAGCCAATTGTAAAAAATTAGGTTTTTTGAAGAATTATAACTAAGGAAGGAAACTGTATTTTTTAGAATTGGGAGGAGGTAAGCAAGATTCTTACCGCCAAAATTTTTTCCTTCTGAATCTCCAATACTCTCCATACATAACTCCTTGTAGAAATTCTGGCCAAACCCAATTTGAGATTTTGAGCCAAACCCGATTCCAGATTTAGATCGAGAAAGGAGCGGATAGGTACTGAGGACTTCTAAGGCTTGGAGTACGGCTAATTTCACTTATGTTTTAAATTGTGGTCAATTGTGGGTTCCTTGGTTGTATCAATATTTTTGTTTTATTTTAAATATTTCATCTTTAAATAAATCCAACATCTAGTAAGTAGTAGTAATAATAATATATATTTTTTTACTAAACATATATATTTTAATAAAAAGTTTTAAATAGGCACAATATTTTAAAATGCGAGGCATACGTGATACGACATGAAAATTTTATTTACTATCATGTGAGGTGCAAGCTTCATGAATCTTCATATTTTTAGTTTAAGAAATCGAAAAGAAAATAAAAAGATAGAAAGTAGATTAAAAGTTTAAAAAATCAAAGGATTAAGCAAACTCATAAAAAAATAAAATATCTAACAGTTTTAAAAGTATAAATAATGCAATAGTGTTAAAATTATTATCAAAAAACACATTTGATTAGTTCCCTAAAAGGCTAAAAGTTATATATTATTATCAAACTACAAATTTAGTTACCTTCCTAAAAGTAAATAATCAATCAACTTTATCAATATTATAATTCAAAATATTACTCCTTCATAAATAAATATAAAATTACTTTTAAATAGTAAAATAATAAAAGTCTCATAATAATTTTGGGAGATAAAAAACTAATAACAAAAACCAATTATAGCGAGTGAAGATATAAAGTTCGGCTATATAGATATATTCAAAAAAAATGTTCAAATGATATTCACCCTCACGATGTTCTCACTTAGTAAATATGTAATACTATGACTCGTTATTTGAGTTAAGATCATTCAATTGTTAATGTATTTTGAGGGTCAACACTATTAATTAGAAATTTTAACATATGATATATTTAGTAATTGTTGAGCGAGCCTCGAACGCGGAGCGATCGGCGTGTTTAGGGCGCATAATCATATGTTTGGGGTATAAGCCTCACAAATTAAGCCCTACACTTGAGTTGTTGCAAATGCTTAGCCCAGGAGCTAGTCCTAGATGAACATTTTAAAATATTAATCAATAATAAGAGAAATCGTTTATACAATAACAACAACAACAACAACAACAAAAACAACCAGTAAGATCCCACAAGTGGGGTCTGGGGAAGGTAGAGTGTAAGCAGACCTTACCCTTACCTCGAAGAGATAGAAAAATCGTCTATGTTGTAAGTAATTATCACTAATTAAATATTAAATATAAAAGATGATTTTTTTCAGACAAAGAATGATTTAAAATTCGAAAAATTAGAGAAATTTTCAATAGTAGATGTAAATGTTCGTAACTACCGACAAATAATATGACATTTAAAGTATGGTCATATTTTTTGTCATTTGTATCAAAATGTTTTTACAACATTTGATATAAGTGTCGTATTTTTACTAAATATTGCATAAAATATCGTTTTTATGACATTTTGTACCAAATGTCATCTTTTTTACGATATTTTGTATCAAATGTCTAGTTTTTACAATATTTTGTAGCAAATGTCGTACTTTTTACGACATTTCTTCAAAAATGTCATTGTTCCGACGACATTTCGTATCAAATGTCATTTTTTTACGATATTTTGTATCAAATGTCATTGTTTCTATGACAATTTATATCAAATGTCGTAGTTTTTACGATATTTTGTCATAAATGTCAAAAAATTCTTTTGTCCGACATTTATTTCAATAGTCACTAAATAAATATCGTTGTATCCTCTATTTCTTGTAGTGAGATTAGTGTGAGCATAACCTCTTTCTTCTCTTCTGTATCAAATAGCCTTAGAGTTAGTTGTTGCACTGAATCAATCTCCACTGTTACATAATATTTTTTGTCTATGAAAGCCCAGATTTTATTAGAAGTGTTCACAATAGCCTGTGCAAAACCTATCTGCCTCCTGTATCTATCCAGTTTTCTTGATTGCTGCATTGGCTCCATTACTCCTATGAACTGAAAATGGTATTTTCTATGCATTGTTATGAGTCTTTCAAAGTCTCTTTGTGTATTAACTGATCTAATGCTCCATAGTAGAGAATGCATCTCTAATTAAAGGATTTAGACATAGTCCTCCTTATTTGGACTACAGCTGGTTGTACATTAGGTTCCTTCACTTGCTTCTTTCTGCCTCGACCAACTGATTTTCTTTTCTCTATATGTCTAGGAGATAAGTCCCCTTACCTAGACACATTCATGAGATTTTGGCATGTTGATTCTGCATACAAATATCTTCCCTTACCTGCTGTATTATCCTCCAATTTCTTCTGTTGTTGAGGTGCTACAACCATTTTAGCAGGCTTAGGAATAAACCTTTTTTCTGTATTTTCCTTGATCTTCTGTTCAACAACATTAAGGCTTGTATTTGTAATACCTTCAGGATTCTGCATCAATTCCAAGATAGCATGAACTTGATTTTCAATCACCTTATCTGCACTTTGCTGCTTCTCACCTCCACCAGAATCACCAGGATCCACCAGAATCACCAGGATCAATTGGTTCAATAGATGCTTTTTGTATAGAAGCTGTATTAGAGCTATTAGTTAAATTTTGCATTTTTGGATTTGAACCTTCAACCTCAGCTGAAGCATCAGTTATTTTTGAAACCTTCTCAATTGTATGCACATCATCTTTGCTAGTTTTTCCATTAACACTGATTTCTTATCCTTGAGGCTTATCCTCAGCTTCCAAAATAGCATTATCTTTCTCCATAAATCACCTTCATCTTAATCATCCTCCTCCTGATCACACTACAGCCTTCCACCTGTGAAATTGATTTTTTCCTTCAACAATTCCTGCTCAGCAAGTGCAACAGTATCAAGTGACTGTGATGGTATTTCTTGGCATGACTGATTCATAGTGACATTGTTGGTAACAAAAGCTCGATTAACCCATTGAGTTGTGGTTTCCTTTAAAGTGTCCTGTCTCTTCTCCACATCATGATTGCCTTTCTTTGTAACATTAGCCTCTTTTGTTGCATTAATCTCAGATGAAGTAGGAATGAATCTAGGTGCTGCAGGGTTTAAAATTATCCTAGTGTCCTTAGGAGTAGGATTTGGACTTTTTTGAACATTGTTGGTATTCACTAGTGTTTTCCCAGTAGGAACTGGACTAGGTCTAGGAGTTCGATTATTACCATCTTCTACTACTACCAGCTGATTGTTAGCCTCATGATCTCCCCCATTATTCTGCACTACCAAAGCATTATTATCAGTTTGAATGTGCTTCTGCACTACAGTAATATTCTCATTCCCAATTTCCTCAACTTCCAATACTGCAAATTTATTTCTCACTTGCATCTGCTGCCCTTCAACTTGAATAACTGGAACTATTTCTTTTCCAGTAGTTCTTTAAGCTTCCTTCTATTAACAACATTCTTAGCATGGTTATCCCTAACTTCTTTCCATTGTTCCTTCCCATTACCACTCACATTGCCTACAACTTTCCCACTCGACAGAATCATTAAAGGTCCCCGTTGATTCAAATTTGCTGGTACAATAGCCTGATCAACCTGTTTCTCAGTCTCATTCCCAGCCTGTTGCTCAGCATAGTTATTCATTAATTTTGGATGAAGCCTCTAACAATCAATCATGTCATGGTCCTGTAGTTTACATTCTTTACAATATTTGGGCAGGTAATCGTATTTAATGGTCACCCATTCAGTCCTCATGACTCTAGTTGCCTCATTCTTGATGTCCATATGCACCTTCTTAGGTAAGTTAGCTAGAAGATCAACAAGAACTTTCACTCGCGCACAACTAGGCCTCGTTTTATTAATTGTAGCCATGTCAAGATGAAGAGGTTTACCCACAGCTGAAGCTAAAGAGAATAGACACTCCTTGACGAAAATAATTGGTAACAAATTTGGAAACGAAATCCACGCCATTACCTTTGGTGTTTCCTCACAGGCCTTGAAATTTGTATCATAAATCAACGTCCTCAACTGATATTCATACCCTGCCTTATCCTTAACATAAAACACACTCTTGGACGTAAAATCAATAAAATCTTGCCATAATGTCAATCGTATTAATACATGCCTGTCGCGAAGATATCCAATGTTACACTCACCTTTAATTCCACATTGAAGAGGGACAATTTGACATAATTCATTAAGCTCAGACCGCCATATGAAAATTTGCAAACTACTGCATAATTCAAACCTTCAAGAAAATCCATTCGCTCAACCTCTACTTCAGTAAACTTAACGATAGGCTGTCCATTAAGTAAGCCAGCACGACACAATGGAATTGGTTCGACAGAACTCACTCGTTCATGCATGGCACTGTTCATCATGGAAGGTTTCAGGATTTTTGAGAAATATAGAGGCTGGGGATTAGAGTTTATGGTCGTATTTTTTGGGGCGATGGAGGTAGAAGGCTGACTAGCTAGCAAAGATGGCTGGCCACCGGCCATAGCGGCCATTAGAGCTAAAAACTGTTGGTCGCTCAAAGTTTTCTCCAAAGCTTCTCTCTCCTCACTGTGTTTGAAATAGTTTGTAGTGCTAATTCAGGAATTTTTTTTTATATTTTTTCGTTTTACGTTGGTGGTTTTTTGAACTATGTGTAGGCTAAAGGTTTAGATTGGTTCATGACTCGATCTTCTGGTAAAGAATTACTACCATACGAACCAAAAATCAAGAAACAACTACGATAGTTGAGGAAGGAAAGAAATCTCTCTGAGAATATAGAGAAGGTTAAGCAATCCTCAACCAAAGAAATTATGGCTAGAGATGATGATAATGTTGATTTGGCTGCAAGAGAAGCAGCCCAACAACGAGAAAAAGATGCACGAGATGCAGAGGAAGCAACTCTTTGAAATGCACAACTTGTCTATGAAGCGGAGAGGGTTAGGAGAATTGTTCAAAATCAACCTTTAGGTGCTGGGATACCACTTGACGATTATGCTAGACCGGTCTACAACCAAGGCTTATCAAGTGTGAGACCACCTCCAGTTTCAACTAACAATTTTGAGTTGAAGTAGGGTTGCTTCAAACTCTTCAAAATAGTTGTGTCTTCATAGGAAAGATAAACGAAGA